TGGGGTAATCTCCTCTTTACGTCCTTGCGAAGGACACGTCGCTTGAGACCAGGGTTATGCTCGGTCAGCGATAAATACCCCGATGTAAGTCCGATGGCGAGGCCCGGCCTTCGGGGGAGACTCCTACTGGCTGGACACTCGTTGTAAGACCAGAAGGCCGAGGGTCGTGGCTTTCGATATATAGTCGGCAGTAGTCTATTGAAATAGGTGTGCACATGAGAACGAACTTGGGATAGGAGGTTGGGATAACTAATTATTTACGTATACATGCTGAGACCATACTTTTGATTATTGATCATTGTGTCATTATTGTAAATAACATTTATTGCATAGTGGTGAGCACTACTGTTTCTATTTGTGCTCATCCCCACCTGCTCTTTACCGATGCAGGTTAAGTGACAGCCGGGTGACGAGGAAGAGACGAGTTGGGTCGGTCTAATTATTTATGCATTTTTATCGCTTCCGTTGAACTTGAATAAGTTGTTGCACGTTATGTTTTGTGCAAACTATTTTCAAACCTGGTGTGTTGGTTTTGAACCTTATAAACCTTGGTTGTTATGGGATTGATGTGGTTATTCATTTCATGAGTTGATGTTGGTTAATGAAAACCGATTGTGAAAACCGGGTAATGAATCCCCGTAGGCCCAGATAAGACTTGGGTTATGAAAATGTTGTTTAACACCCACTAAATTTTCGAAAATGAGTTTGAAAATTTTATACTGATTTTTTTTGAAAAATCCGGAATTCCTGTAAAATCAAAGTGGGGTGTTACAGTCCTACTGGCTGCTTCTGAACGCACATGATGGTGACTGGTCTGACCGAACGCTATGTGCGTCGGTTGCCGCACGACTGCACACAGTCAGGTGTTACTGCACACCGCGACGTACCGCTGAACACATGAGTACGCCCTCAGGCGCTGATTGGCATGACTGGATACCGCGCGACTGCTACTGTGCGACTCTCGCGGCACTGACTACTCGGCCAGCCTGTTGGGCACTGCCGAGGCCAACTGACGCGTGCTGGCGTGCATTACAGCACACTGGCGTGCGTGACTGGACGTTGGCGTGCACCCGTGCACCTGCCAACTGCTACTTGCTGCGGTCAGTGATCATGCACGACGCCCATACAGCATACACGCACATCACTTGCACCGCATGCATGACTGCCAGTACGCTGCGGCCACTACGTGCGGCCAGCGCAAGTACAACTGACCCTCGTCGGTCATCCGGCGACTTCCTCCAGCAACATCAACTTGAACTAACATGATTCAACATGATATGATTAAATATACTGAATTTACTCAAAATTCATGAACTTTGCTCGATAACTTGCGTTAAGCCAAGGCGTGCGCGCCGTGCGCCGCCTATGACCTCGACCAATTTCTTTGGCCGAACCTCAGCTATTTCTTTCGACAACTGAAGCATGAAACTTTTCTCGTCTAAGGGTTTCAAGAACAACCCTCAGATGCTCCTCATGTTCCTTCTGGCTCTTGGAGTATATAAGAATATCATTAATGAAAACAATGACAAACTGATCGAGATAGGGATGGAAAATACGATTCATCAAATCCATGAATACTGCAGGGGCATTGCTGAGACCGAATGGCATGACAATGAACTCGTAATGACCGTAACGAGTACGGAAAGCAGTCTTGGGAATGTCTGACTCCTTGATTTTTAGCTGGTGGTAGCCTGATCTCAAATCAATCTTAGAGAAAACACAAGCTCCTCTCAGCTGATCAAATAAGTCGTCGATCCTGGGAAGCGGATATTTGTTCTTGATCGTCAACCGGTTGAGATCCCGGTAGACGATACACATGCGCAAGGATCCATCCTTCTTCTTGACAAAGAGAACAGGTGCTCCCCATGGTGACACGCTCGGTCGAATGAAACCGAGTCGCAATAACTCCTGAATTTGCGCCTTAAGCTCCTGCAATTCTTTTGGCGCCATACGATAGGGTGCTTTAGAAACTGGGCCGGCTCCTGGAATAAGGTCAATGGAAAACTCTACCTGCCGGTTAGGTGGTCCTCCTGGAAGCTCATTCGGAAACACGTCCACAAACTTACGAACAATAGGAACGTCGTGAGGTGTACGTGCCTTCGGAGAATCATCGATAAGGCTAACAAGATAACCCTGACAGTTGCCTCGTCGCAACATCTTCCTGGCTTTCGCCATAGAAATAACATGAGGCAATGAACGAGTCTTAGTACTGAAGAAAGTAATCTGATCATCTCCCGGAAGAAAAAGGGTAATCTCCCGGTCATGACATCGGATATTTGCATGAAAACGTGTTAGCCAATCCATGCCGAGTATGAGGTCAAAGTCCCTCATCTCGAGAACATAAGCGCCGGTAGACAACATACGGCCACTGATAGAAAGGCTGAGATCTTTGGCTTTGTGTAACACCCCACTTTGATTTTATAGAAATTCAGGACTTTCTAAAAATCAGCATAAAATTTTCAATGTCATTTTCGAAAATTTAATGGGTGTTAAACAACATTTATCATAACCCGTCTTATCTGGGCTCATGGGGATTCATTACCCGGTTTTCACAAACAGTTTTCATTAACCGAAACTCTTCACGAGACATGATACTCAACATGAATATAAAATCAAACCATAATACCCATCACTCCGAGTTCCACAAATTTCCAAAACAAGCAAGTCATAAGTTCTGGGAAATAACATAATCAAGTCTCAACAAAAGGGTTCACAAAGCCTTATTCATACGGAAGCGATAAATAAAATTGACCGACCCACTCGCCTCTTCTCGTCACCCAGCTCCTGCTTAACCTGCATCGGTAAAGAGCAGGTGGGGATGAGCACTAGATGAAAAGCGTGCTCACCACTATTCACATAAATAATACATGTTTAGATGGTATGGTCGCAGTATGAATATAAATCAATCATCATCATGTCTCATCTCCTAATCACAACAATAACTCACTCATGTGCACATCTATCATTAGCCGCGGAAAGGGGATGCATAAACCCTAACGACGGGAGTGCGTGCCACTGTAACGGACACGGCCTTTCATTGGTCTTAAGGAAGGCAACCGTGCCGTAACTTGACGGGGACAACCGTACCGACGGCCGTAACAGCTCACATCAGTAGGCCACATGGTTCACATTCATACATAGGTCATACCAACAAAACACTTAAACACACGTATGGCATAGATAATTTTCATAAGTAAAACCCACCTGGTACAACAAGGGAATATGGCACACAACGGGAGTAGGCAGCGAGCACGGCTCATCAGACACCTACAATAATTTAATACTAAGATCAACACCTACTTGAACTTAGAGAACAATCACAAGCATACATTGGTCGAACTTGATTCAACCAAGTAGTTCGTGAAGTTCCGTGGATATTGGAACACATGGGTCCTACACTTAGACTTGACCAAAATGAATATTAATAACACATATAGTCCTAGCACACTAAACGAAGTCAAACAGTTCAAAGGCACACATAAGGGTTCAGGGAAAATTATAAGAAAAGCTTAGGTCGGGCCCCGGGCTGCTCGCTGGTACGGTCGTGCACGGCTGGGAGCGGCTGGTGGTGCGCACGGGCGCTGGGCACTGTGCTGGGGG